TGTGAAGATGATCAATTATGTCTGAGTTCTGATCTTCATCTTCAATTGAACGTGGGTGAAATCGGTATTTGGCCAAGGATGATCTTCCACCATAAACCTTGAAATACTACTGTAATTAACTACAAAATTATTGCATCAAAAGAACATCGCAGTCTACAATCAAACCTTCATCGCCTTACCCGTTTCTTTCGCGCGAAATAAACCTAATTATTGAGATTTGGGTTCAAAATTGTTTGTTTGTCACTCTTGCGCAAAAAAAAAAAAAAAAAAACCTAATGATTAAGATTTGGGTTCAAAATCGTCTGCTTGTCCCTCTTGCGTGAAAAAAAAAAAAAAAAAAAAAAAAAAAAAAAACCAAACACAAAATCAGCAGACATAATTGATAAAAAAATCTTACATGTTTCTCTCTCGCGCGTGAAAAAATCTAAAACACGAAATCAATAAAAGTAACTGATAGACGTGATTTTAGTTTCGGACGAGGGGTAAAATAGGAAAAATGAGAGGGCTAAGAGTTAATCGCAAAAAACTTTGAAAATGGGGAAGTGCAGTATATACAAGTTATGAATGGGGACTAAATTTAAAGTTGAAAATAAAGATGGGTATTTTAGTCCAATTATCCGTAAAATTTTAGCACATACTTAATTTATTCAAATTATTTTTTATATTATATAAATATATTATGTATATATGTAATAAAAAAAAATTACATGGTGGGGTGGGGGAAGGGGCTGCACCCCTTGCCCCCACATGGATCTGCACCTATAGCTATGAGCATGCTTAAATTGAAGCGATAATTTAAAATTTTTGCAATAATCTTTTTTTTTTTGTCAAAAAAAAAAAAAAAGAAAAACAAACAAACAATAAAAACTATACAAAATTATGATCTATAGATACAATTAATAAAAAATAAAAATAAAAATAAAAATAAAAATTGAACAAACAATAAGTTCATAAAAAATATAATTAATACCTATTTTTTATATATTATCATTTGGGGGCCACATATATATGTCTATATATATGCACTCTCTTTTTAGGTTAATATATCATTTCTATTTTATGCAAATATTCAAACATGGTATGAGAACCTATTTTTCTTCTAGGATAGACAACGCTACTAATCCTTATTGCTTTTGCCGCCAACGCCGGCGCGTGGCAGCTGCACACGCCTCCGACGCAGATCGACGTCGTATCCCTCCGGCAACTGCCACCTTCCCACCGCGTCCGGCGGTTTCCGTCCGTCGTCTCATGCTTCGATCTCCGATATCCTAGTATGGTCGATTTTGCCATATGACTTGAGTTTATTTTGCAACAGTTACTGGGTTGGCTTGTCAAGTCTGATTTTATACACGATTCTTTTGTGCGCCATACTATTCTTGATTTTCTCGCTTCATAGTATGGCTCTTAATATGGATCGTATAGACGCTTCCGGGATTACTGTTATTCTTTCTGGTGATAATTATGATTTGTGGGCTGAATCTATGAAGAGTTTCTTAATTGGTAAAAGATTATGGCGCTATGTTACTGGCAACTTTTCTGCACCGGTTGCTCCTGTTGTCACTTCTACGACGCCCCTCAACAATAAGGATCTCACGGACTATCGGAATGCCTTGGATGAGTGGAATAGTAAGAACCACATTATTCTTACTTCTGGTATATCCGATCTACAGACCTACCTTCATCGACACTTTGACATGAGGAGTCTTGGTCAGCTCCGCTATTTTCTTGGACTTGAGATTTATGATGCTCCAGATGGCATATATTTATCTCAGGCGAAATATGCATCTGATCTCATATCTCGTTCAAGTCTGACTAATAGCCAGATTGCATCTACCTCTCTCGAGGGGAACTGTCGACTTGCTCCTTTCGACGGCACTCCATTAGAGGATCCCTCCCGCTATCGGCAGTTAGTGGGATCCCTGATATACTTGACGGTCACTCGCCCGGACATAGCTTATGCAGTTCATGTTGTTACTCAGTTCATGATTAATCCCCGGACAGTTCACTATGTTGCTGTGTTGCGCATCCTTCGTTATGTCAAGGGAACACTCCTACACGGTCTTCATTTTTCTCCTGACTCTCTATTGGTTTTTTCAGGTTTCTCTGATGCTGATTGGGCAGGTGATCCGACTGATCGTCGCTCTATCACATGTTATTGTTTTTTTCTTATGAGCTCTCTTGTTTCTTGGCTGAGCAAAAAACAAACTCTCGTTTCTCGCTCCAGTGCAGAGTCTGAGTATCGTACTCTTGCGGATTCGACTTCAAAGTTCATTTGGCTTCGTCAGCTTCTTTCTGATCTCGGGGTTCCTCTACCGTCTTCAACTTCCCTCCATTGTGACAGCATAAGCGCAATTCAAATCTCCAATAATGATGTCTTTCCCGAGCGCACCAAGCATATTGAAATTGATTGTCACTTTCTTTATCAGCATGTTCGTGCAGGTACTATTCATCTATCTTCTGTCTCTTCCGAGGATCAAACTGCGGATATCTTCACTAAATCTCTCTTCCGAGGCTGGTTCTCCACATTATTGAGCAAACTCAAGTTAGTTTCTACTTTACCACTTTGAGTTTGAAGAGGGTGTTAACATATTTTTTATATATTGTTATTTGGGATCCACATATATATACGTATACATATGCACTCTCTTTTTAAGTTAATATACAATTTCTATTTTTTGCAAATATTCATGCACTACCTATTAAAGAATAATTTTGCATTTAAAATGTTTAATTACATTAAAACTCAACCCAAAACTCACACATCCATGCAAACACGTACATAATTCCAAAATTGAAAATGTATGCAGACAGAATTTACTGAAAATATGAATATATGATTTGGAAGAGTTGTATGAACCAACAAAACCATTCCATCCTCTATCGTACTTCTATTTATTGAAAAGACCTGTCACAAAAATAATAAATATCTTTTCAATAAATATTAGTTGAAGAAACAGGCAAATATTAAATGTATGCTTTTAAAGCAATTCAATTCCTTATTTATTACTCTCTCAGTTCAGATACCGTTTCTGTTACACTGTAGACACAGTATTTTAGGAGAAGTGTAATTAGAAGATAATTAAGAATGTATTAGTGAAAATAATTATCCTATAATATAAATAATTATAAATTAAGATTAAGATAACTAATTAGTTTAATTAAAATTTAAAAAAAAAATTAAAAAATTTAAAATGAGATTAAAATGTGTAATCATTTTCCAAAAAAAAAAGTGACATAGTATGGGGGACGAACAGAAACGACAACGTTGGATATAATATTTGGGACACAATTCAATTATCAACTGCATCATATCACAACGTAAAATAACTTTTTCAAAAAGATATAATAATAATAACAATAATAATAAATTAAATCCTCTTACGGGTTTGTTCCTTTTTACCCAAAACTTTGGTATATACTATTTTCCAAAACTTTGGTTTATACTATTTGAACTATGCGTTTTTTTAAAAAAAAAAATTTTTTTTCTCAAAACATACTATTATACATTATTTTAATATCAAATTCAATCAAATTTTTTTCAAATTCATTAAAAATAAACTACCCTAAGTTTTTATATTAAAAAAATACTCCCTTTTAAGAGTATTAGATTGTATAGTTAATTAGTATGATTTAATTTACGTAATATTTATAATATAGTATTATTTTAATTAATTCTTTATTGGGTAAAGAAAGTAAAAACTAAAAAAATATTTATTTAAATTTTTTTATATGGAATATTTTATATATTGGAATTAATTTTTAAAAATATTGTAAAATTATAAATTAATATGAATAATATAATAAAAAATAATTAAATTAAATTTAAAATTTTAAAATCAATTAATAATAAAAATAAAGTGCAATTTTTAATTTAAAAAAATATACATATATTTTATATAAAATTCTTCAAACTTTTTACTCTTAAAAGTACTTAAACTGATTTTTATCCATATTAAAAAATTAAAGACATAAATTGAACTAAGTCATATACAGGCCGAATGCCAGGGGATTGTGCAACCATTGTAACTTATTTTTCGATTTCGAAGGCCAGACGCAGGGAACTTCCCGCAGTTAACTGCACGATTAAAGTAGCCTAACAGGTGGAGGTTAATAACGTGTCCGAAGAGGGCGCCTATTTATATTATACTCTCGTTACAGTCTGGGTTGTGTTTGGTACGAGATTTAAGAAAATATTGATATTATATTGATAGTGGATAAAAAGTACGGATAAAAAACTTTTTTGCCTTTGTGAGTGTATTAGTATAAAAAGTAGTGACAATTGTGTAATAATAATGAAAAAATAAGAATAGTTTTACAGTGATATAGTTATTTATGAAAATGAGACTATTGTTTTGAGAAGAACAAAAATGCTAAACAAGACTATTGTATTGGCATGAATGGAGTATTAAACGATTATTTAAATTTAATTTCATAATTAAAAACTCAATTTCCCATTTATTTCTTGATGAATATATTAAATTTAAATTCTAAATTTACTTTTCGATTTGTTTACATAAAAAATCATATCAATATCGTTTTTATTTAATATTACATTAAAATTTATTTAATATTTAAAATTTGAAATATTATGTTAAAAATATATTTATATTACATCAAATAATTATTATAATTTAAAATTTTATTATTTATAACACATAGATATAATTAATTTTTTATTTTTTTTATAAGACATAAAATTTAATCGAAGTCCTACTCTTCACTAATTTGTCTTTCTAAAATATAAAATCAATTATTTATGATTTAAAAACAAAATTTTATGATTAAAAACAAAATTTTATGATTTAAGACTACTATCAAACGAATCACGTATAAGTATTAGTAAAAATATAGTTAAATTTTTAATATAAGTAATTAATTTTTTATTATTATTCAAAAAAAAGAGGCTAATTTTATACGAAAAAAAAAAAAAAAAAAGGCTAATTTTATACTACGAAAAAAAAAAAAAACAGGACTAATTGCATTTGCATGGGATGGAGGTAGTAAGTAAAAAACAGGCAAAATTGTCCCTTTTCGAAACTCAACGTAAATTCCTCTCTACTTTAAAAATAAAAATTACATGATGTCCCCTTATACTTTAAAAAAATATTGCATAAAACTACTTCGTGGTTTCGAAACTCAGCATAAATTCCCATTTTACTTTAAAAAATTGTATGACGCTCACTTATACTTTCAAAAATATTACATAAAACCCCCTGCCATGCAAGACATATAGATAGAAAATCATCTTATCTTCTTATCACAAGAGGAAAGTTTCATGATGGTAAGATTTAATGCAACGTTTTTTAAAATATAAGGGTATCATGCAATTTTTAAAGTATAAGAAGATTTTACGCTGAATTTTAAAACCACGTGGGAGTTATAACCAATTTTACCAAAAACACAGTAAAATTATGTATGTAAGAAATCATAATGTGAATATATATTAGTGTGTGGAGTGTAAAATAAAACAATAAATTAAAAAGAAAAAAGAAAAAAAAAAAAGCAGGGTGTTACTGCAATTAAATGAAATCTAGGGGAAGTAACCAAGGGGCTGATCATTGATGATCCAGTGGTGTTGACTCCAGTATGATGGATCAACGCCAGCTGTTAGATCAAACTGCCCTTGATCGCGGCCACCGCCGTCGTCTCCCCATACCAGCGCCGCCGCTAGCTCCTCATCCGCCGCCGCCGCAACAGTATTCTCCACCACCGATGCCTTATTTGCAGGCTCCAACTGCGTTTGAATGTCGCCGACTAAGAAATCAATAACCTCTTCCGACGAGGCCATAAGGCTTGAGAAGCTTCCGATCTCAGTCGCCAGAATCTCGCCGCCGTTCTCCGGCGGCTGGCGATCGAAGCTGCCATTTGCTCCAAAAACCGCCGCCGCTGCCGTGGCGGTTAAGCTGGAGTTATCAGGCTTACTTGTCGATTTGGTTAATTCTATGGCGGAATCTATAGCAGTAACGGTCTTACACTTGGAACGCTTGTTCTTCCGGCATCCTCCGCCGACAGGTACGTTGCGGAGGACGCCGCCGTTTGTCCAGTACCGCCGGCAGCTCTTGCAGAAGTGGCGCGGCTGCGACAGATTGTAGTTATTATAGTAGCAAAATTTGGTGTTGAGCGAGTCACAGCGCGGACACTTTACCGCATGGTGGTTGTGCAGCCGCCGCCTCCTCTCTCCACCGTCGCCGCCGCCGCCGATCGCCTGCATATCTCAAATTCCAAAACCCTTTCCCACCATGTATGTACTCAACTCAACTCAACAACAGTCTCAGATCAGATTTCCCTCTGACAAACAAATGTCCCATAGTAATTGTACTTTACCAAATTATACTATTGAAAATGACTAAAATGCTCAAAATCCACTATATGAATTACCGAAAACGCCCTTGATCACTAGGAATGTGGTGGCAATTGTGAGTGTTCGTTTAATGATGGCGACAAATCGTAGCCGTCGGATGAGGGAGGGAGTCCGACGGCGACAGAAAGCGAAAAGTGTAGGGTCTGGGGAGAGAGAAATATCGCTGCCACTGATGAGAAGCTGTCGAGTTGTCGGCCAATAGGAGGGACCCACGTGTCAGGTATAATGGTACGTACGTTGCCACGTTAGTCTATTGTTTGGTTACTGCGCCATTTTTATTTACTATTACAATTATATTTGCTCCGTATATTTATGATATATACCTATTTTTATTTTAAATTGTTTAATTATAAATTAATTATTTAAAAATATTTTATATTTTAAATAAATATTTTTACTTTATTATAATATTATTGTTTCTATATTAAAGAATAAAGATAAAATTATCTTTATATTACATCCGTCCTATAAAAGGAATAATATTTGCTTTTGTACATATATATTTTTTAATATTAATATTATATTGGTTTATATTTTTTAATATTAATATTATATTGGTTTATAGTATAAAATATATAAATTTTTATTAGATTGTGTGATAAAAAAAATAATGGTATTTGTATAATATATTGAAAGTCGTAAGGGTATTAATTATGTTAGGTAGATAGTATAATAACTAAATTAGGAAATGATATCTTTTTTTTGGGCAGACAAAAATGGAAAATGATTTCTTATGGGACGGAGGGAATATTATTTTAACTACTCATTATAATTAAAATATTATTATTTTTTAAATTCCGCATTAAAAAATACTTTTTCCATCCATCAAATTTAATCTCATTTTTTCTTTTCGTCCGTTCGTCAAACTTGTCTCATTATTAATTTTGATAAAATCAAATATTTAACATTTAACTATTAGCCTCAATTCAACACTTTTTATCATAATTGTCACTACTTTTATTGCATCATCCATCTTCATTTTATTTAATTACTAACTACAATCCGGGTATCTTCCTGATCTTATAATTCAGGAGGATCCTGAAAAAATTACAGTCATCGGATAGAGATATTAATCAATTGTTGCAATTATATGCATGGATAGATATGTAATTCGATTCGTATAATAAATAAAACAATTATTAATTTTAACATTAATCAAGAGAACACAAATATATGTAGATATTTGTCGTGCTTATTATATGTTTCAGTTCACAACAAAAAAAAATGAAAAAAAGAAAGGAGAACTACACATTATCTTCCGAAGTTGATCGAAGAAAACATATAGTTAAGAACTCAGAGCATGGAACAAGATAGAAAAAAATGATGAGTATTCTGGTGAGTTCCAGTATGCTGTAGGCGAAGATGACGTTCTAGAAAATGCGGAATTTGATAAATCTTTTCTATTTTTAATCTATCGCGAAAGTAACGTACTGATGAATTTTTATTACATCATATCTCTATCTTCGGAACATCATATCTCTATCTTCGGAACATCATATCTTAAAGATACATACATCATAATCATATTATTTATTCAGCATATTAGTATTTGCACACATAAATTATTGAATCAATAGCCGAAACAGTAGGTGAATTGCAGGCTTCCAATAGTTTCTAAGGGTGTGTTTGTTTGGGGGTTTGGATTTTGGATTGGGATTTAAATAGTAAAAATTCTGAATTTGAATAGTTTTATGATGTGATATAAATAGATGTTGATGTGATGTTTTGAATGTAAAATTGATTTTTAGTATAATATAAAAAATAAAAAATAGGTGTTTGATTTGATATTTTTGGGGGAAAAAAATATAATGAATAGTAGAAATCCAAACAAATCCCTCAAACAAACACACCCTAATAGTACAATGAGATACATTAAACTTATCCGAATTGTTGAATCCAGTAGTTGTGGTTTGCATTATTTTCTTGGGACAATTTTAGATTTTATTATTTTTTGTAAAAATTATGTAGGTATTCACTTAAAACCGATACGTTTTGTAACAAAATTTAATTGATGCGTGAAATCATATTTTGAACCGATAAGGTAAGGAATATAATACTTTATCCAAATTTAAAATGGTTGAATTATACTAATTTGGTCTTAAAATTAAGGTTAGCCTCTTAAAATTACATTTTAGTTTAAATAGTCTCAAAATTAAATCATATCAATTTTTTTCATTATTTAAATGCCTAAAAAATATAAAATATTTATCCAGTCAGCGTAAGAAATGAAGGTAAGTAATTTAATTACTCAATATTCGCGCTGGAGCGATATCATAATATTGTATTTTGTAAACCATATTATATTAAAATAAACAACATATATTATAACTGTGCATATCATTTGATTTTTTAAGTGACAACTACTGGACCAATGCATCTTTTTCAAGTTCTAATGCATGTACAAATTATATTGTAGATATGCACATGGATGAAAAATTTTCGTGCGAAAACAAATGTAAAGAAAGGGAAAAAGTGATCATCATGATATGCAATACATTCATATTGCTGCAATAAAAAAGGTTACAAAAATAGTTGTAGAGTTGACCTCAATAATAAACGAACATGATAAGAGGAGAGGATGTTGCAGCACTATCATACATATAAATATAATGAAAAATATATCTAACATAGTCCAACATTTAAACTTAACTAATACATCATAACTATGCAATATATAAATCATATATATAAATCATAATTGTACGTGCAACATTCGTATATGCAATTTACATCATTTATATCTAATATATATATCATATCTATTGAAGTTATATATCATACTTATAAACATAATGGTGAAATATATATATCTATCTAACATAGTTTATCATTTAAATCTGATCAATATATCATAGCTATACGATATATAAACAATAAATATGAATCATAACCTGAAATAAAAAAATGTGCATAATAAGAGTCTATCATGAGTTAAACAACATATGTGTTTTGAATATATATCGTAAGTGTGCAAAGATTAACATAAAGGTCTTTAGGAATAACTGTACATATATTTTTTTTTTCTAAAGAGACTAATCAAGAATGCGCATTTACGCACAATTACTGTAAAAAATTATGCAGTACTAGAGACGTCGTCATTGGTGGTCCGAAATGGATGAGAGGAGAAATGAAGTCTCTGCATGATAAAATTATGGTTGGTAAATAAATTGGGGGTGAAACGGGTGAAAGGATTATATAATTAATTGTTATTTTATTTACAATAAATAATCCACAGATTAAAAAGATACACCATAATGTATTTATGAAACTATCATTTCAGTAAATTATATATGAAATGTATTTCATGATAAAACATCATAATAGCGATATTTAAGACATTATCTATGATAACATACATCATTATATTTTGGGTAAATTATATAACACCCCCTTGTGTTTTAGTAAAAATACACAAAACACCGTGTGTTTTATTTATTGCGTCCCCTGTGTTAATGTAAATTTTGCACAAAACATCTTCTTTGTGCAAAAAAAGACCTAAATTACGCAAGTTGTATACAAATAAAAAACGTAAAATATTTTAAATAAAATTTTAATTAAATAAATAATTGATCAAACATTTATTTTTATAGTTTTTGTAAAAATAAGATAACAATTTATCTCCAAAAAAACTATAAAGTAAGGATTAATCAATTATTTAGTTATTTATTTTATTAAAAAAATATTATTTAAGATATTTTACGTTTTTATTTGTATAAAATTTGTGTAATTTAGGTTTTTATTTAGAATCAATCATCAGTTTTGGACAAGGAGAGTGTTTCGTGCAAACTTTACATTAACACAAAGAGGTTTCATGCAATAAATAAAACAAAAGGTGTTTTGTGCATTTTTACTAAAATACAAGGGGATGTTATATAATTTACCCTTATATTTTGAATGTGTACAATTTAGGAAGTAATTATTTGTAAACATTTCTATTTTTAATTAGGGTTGTTTCTATTCTTAATTAGAATTGACTTTCTGAATATATACGAAGTAGATAAGATAATTTATTCTTTTTAATCAAAGATCATTGAATTATTTTAAAATGCCTAAAACACCCCCGATTAAAATCAACCGTTGGATTGACAATTAAATTAATCGAATGGTTCAAATAAATTCAAGACTGTTCTAAATTGTATATAACATAAGGAGGATACTAGTATTCTACTAAATCTCCAAAAATACTTCTAACTATTGTTTTATTTTTTCAATAAAATATTTATTTATTTTAATCTCTACACTGATTCTAAATGGGCTAATTTTTGCCGACAGAAAGAATATTTGTTTTTAAATTGGATAGATAATAATACTTACATGTTGTGTTTCTATATGTATATATAATTTCTTACCCAAAATTTAATTGGGCTATATTCACGAAATATAGTAAATATATTCTCTCATCTCAAAAATTACGAATTTTAATAAATATATTATTATATAAATGGATCATAATATATTAAAATACTTTTAAAAATACATAAATAAATCGGACAATTGGATTAAAATCTCTACCCCTATTTTAATGTTTAAATTCAGCCCCCACCCACACTCTTCACACACTGCACTTCCCACTTTTTAATAAATATTAGCATTAACTCCCCATCCCCAATCTCAATTACAATATTGTCCTTCTCTCTCCCAAAAATCTAATTTATCATTTTAGGTATTCTTCTCTCTTTATTAGGTTATTTCCGCGCATAAGAACTTCCATCCAGACTTCTATTTTATTTGTGCGTGATCGATGGCGATGACGAATCTATATTTCAATCTTTAAGTTTATTTCGTACGAAAAAAACATTGGTAAGAGGAAGTTTTGATCTTGAATGTTCTTTGTTGTAATAATTTTGTTGGTTGATTTTAGTGGTGTGTTAGGGCTAACGACCGATCCTACCTACGTTTAATTGAAGACAAAGATTGAAACTCTGGTATGATCAATAATTTTTACTAT